TCCGGGCCGGGCCGAGCCGGGCCGGGCCGGGCCGGGCCGGGCGCGGCGCTCCTCAACAGCAGCGAGCCGACAGGGCAGGCCCGCAGCAGCACCCTCCTGCAGACAAGCCCAGAGCCGCAGGGCGGCGATACCGCGTGCCCTATCCCTACCCCCTGCCCCGGCCCTTACTGTCCAGGTAGTGCTCCAGGTACATCCCAGCCGCCATCTTGGTTGCCAAACACAGGCCCTTCCGGTGGGGACCGGAAATCACGGCACTTATTACGCTTCCGTCTAAAATGGGGCCATTTCCGCCCTTCTCTACCGCCACTTCCGCCCTACTCTTGGCGCCGGGTTACATTCCTACCTCCTTCCTGCCTCGCCCGCCCCCTCGCGGGCCGGGATTGGTGCTTCTGGACCGCGGGGGCCGGGGCCCACCTCCAGGGGGCTCCCTATTGTATGAGAACGAGCCGAATGCAGCTGTTGACCCGGGTCAGCCCCCTCCCCTCCGACCCGTTTGCTTCGGCCCCACAGGGCAACACTAAGCAACAACATGCGGGGGCAAATAAAAAGGAAACAGGGAAGAGAGTGAGTCGCAGGAGGGATCCAGAAGGGGACAGTGGCAGAGGCATGGGCTGCCCCTTGAACGAGTTGAGGGAGCCAGTGGGCACCAACCAGCGAAGCTCTGCCCGGGGTGCCTGCAGAGAAGAGACAGGAAAGCAGCCCTAGTTTTGCCTAGGGTCCCCTGGGCCAGAGCCTCCTTCCTGGTCTGATGGATGGACCAGAGGCAGGAGGTTGATCAGAAGGTCCCAGGGCTTGGTGGGGCCAAACAAACCCACACTGATCCGCTATATACAGCACCAGACCAGCTGAGGACAGGGACCATCCTGGACATGAGCCTTCTTAATCTTTGTCAAGAGTCTCTACCTGGAACCCTGTGTTGGACTTGGGGGATTTTGAAGCCCTGGTGGTGGGTGGGGGCCTGCATCTTTCACAGGTTCTTCGAAAGTGTTCTCCAGGGCAAAGTCCTCACTTGTTGCTGTAGTTCCCCAATTTTGTGTGAGCATTGAAGGGCTCATGTCTCGCTTCATGTGGTCACCCTTATTACCAACATTCAAATGTACACCAGATCACATGGTTCTACCAGCCAGGTCTGGCCCGCAGGCCTGGAGTTGAGCGCTTCTGCTTTAGCCCAGTGGTTCTCAACTTTGTTGGGCTTGAAGCCACCCTTGGAAGATGCTAGCTCTTACCGCTTTCACTCATTTTTCCAGTATCAAAAAATATTACAGCAGTTCTTGTGTTGCAAAGAACTCAGATTACTACAGATTAACGTATCTTTGACACCATGGATTCCTATTTGAAGCCTAGTCCCATCCAGACAAGTGCGGCTATGCAGTATGTGGCGCCACAGACAGACTTGCAGCACCATGTACCTCCCATGCATTCAGCTATTCTCCATGCTGCAAGGGAGCAGCATGGTGGAGGATTCACTCCAGACAGAGTAAAAAAAAAAAAAAAAGAAAAACAGTGGTGCACATAGGTACAGTGCACACCACACAAAACTGGAGCCTGGCTGGCATACTCCAGCTGCCAGACAGGCTTTGAGCAGCAGGATCACCAGTGCTGCAGCCCCAGGAGGCCTGCAGGTAAGGCTGCTAGGGCCAGCCCAGTGCTGGGCCCAGCCTCCTCTACCCCACCCAGGGTAACCTGCCATGTGCCAGCAGGCATGTGGCACAGGCGTTCCCTGGGGACAAGCAGTGGCAGCACAAGGTATGCTGTCGCTGCTTGTCCCTGGGGAAACAAACATCTATGCTCATGTAGACAAGGCCTCTGGGTTTATCTTTTGAATCAAGCATACTAAATGTTTGCCCAGCTAACTGCTCTTGTTGACCGAGCAGCAGCCCTTAAATGTCTCACAGTACTCCAAGGTGCTGCAGCACCTTGGTTGAGCATCACTGCTCTGAACAGCAGAGTAATCCATTTCTGTCGTACTCTCAGTTACCTGCATTCCCAGGCTTAGGATATCTTTGACCCTGAAGTGCAAGGATTTTGGTAAGTGATATCTTTTATTTGACCAACTGCATGGGATAAAGTTCAACAAACTTTCGAATGCACAGCATTCTTCATCAGGTGTGAGGGAAGAAGCAGTGATGAATGATCAAAAACTGTATAGGGCTGTGAAATTGGAGAAGAGAAATTCTCAGGGCTAGAAAACAATTAACAGAGAAACAAAGTTTGATTAATTGGTGATCAACGTTTCAGTAGGGAAGAGGGTTGTTTTCATTTGTAGCACAAAAGATTTTCAGTAAACAGGTATATTTTTCATCCCTGTTTTGGACCTGTCCTTCATAAATTTTTCAAATACCCTTTATAAACTCAGTTACATAACAGCATCCTGGGGCAATGAGTTCCATGAGGTAATGATGATTGTGGGTATGTGTCTAAAAGGGGGGAGGGTAGAGGAGAAATCTTATCTGCCATTTTATTGCCTGCTCAGGTAGTTTTGTGAAATCCTTTCTGTAACCCTCTACCATTAACTTTGGATTTGACTACCCAGAATAATTCTGATCACCTGGAAACATTGCCACCTCATTGTTGACTCCTTTTTCTAGAAAGGTAAGATATCAGTTGACTTAGTCTTGGTAATCCAGTCAGCCCTCCCGTTGGTACTAGGGCCTTTTGCTCATCTTTTGATAAATTAGATGTTATGGCAGCTCCTCCCAAAGGTTCCCTGCACTTAGGGGTGCCAACCCTCCTGGACTGGCTGGGAGTCTACTGGAATTAGCATCAATCTCCAGGTGACTACTGAGAGCAATCTGGGAGATTGATATTGTGAACGGGTTGAACAATACAATTAATTACATTACAACATGTTGGGGGAAAAAAATCTCCCAGAATAGCTTCAGTCAGTTGGCAATCCTACCTGTACTTCCAACTGAAGCAAGCTTACCATGCTTTAAGGCTCACCCTGTGTTTCTCTTTTTCTGTTTCTGAGAAAATAAAAATTTCCATCATCTTTCCTCCCCTTAAAAAAGACCGCAGTACAACTGCCACACCTCCTTTCCAGCCATTTAGCAGTCAACATCCCCTGAGAACTAAGTGCATCTCCTTCCCTTCCCTTCCCTTCCCTTCCCTCTCCACCTAAGGCATCCATTGCTCTGGACTTCTTTCAGGTCATGGCAGGGATGGGGTTCTGTCATGCCCAAGTAAGCTCTGCAACAGAGAACATGAAAGGCTATTTAAAATGTACAGAAGGGAGTTAACAAGAGGCAGGCTAGTTGCTCCTTTAGGGAGAAGATAGAAAAAAGCCCAAAAGAGCACAAAGGGATGAACAGATAGAAATGAAACAGGTTCCTGCTGGAAATACGTAGAATGATGTTCAAAGCCACTACTGAAAAGGTCAGAAAATCCAAAATGTTTTTATTGAGGTGTAAGGATCAAGCATCCTAGCTGGGTCCCAAGAGAACACTGTCATAGTCAGCCTGTTTGAACTGGGTGCTTCATGGCAGATATTTAACAAGGATCAGTAGGCTAAGCCCTGGGACCCATGCCTCCCACATAAAAGTTTTGAGAACCACTGTCCTATATGATATAGCGGATGTTCTACCTTATATTATGGGGAAGTAGGGAGCGTCAACCTCCTAAGCCCTTCCATTAATTTAGGTATTCCACACTGCTCATTCAGATTCTTCAAAGTATTAAATTGTTGGATTTTTAAAGTAAATCTCTAGTCCTCACAAATAAGAGGACATTGAAAGTGTGATCTAAGAATGCACTGTTGCAGTGCTGTCTTCCTGAACCTGGAGGAAACCTGAAATAATTACTTAAAGTGTGAAATCTCTCACTCCCCATAACCCAGGGGGAGGAAAAATATTGCCCGTGGGCTGCATCTGGCCTGCCAGGCCATTCTATCCAGCCTGCAGGACCCTTAAAACATTTAGAAAATATTTATCTGCTCCTGGCTGCCTGTCAAAGATGACAGGAGCCAGGGGCAGTAGGACCCAGGAGGAGCCAGCAGCAGGAGGCAGGAGCCCAGCCCCGCCTACCCACAGCCACTTCCCTGCTTCCTGCTTCCACCATGCTCCAGCACCAAGTGGCTCCTGTGGGTACAGGGGTGTGCATGGGCGCAGGCAGGGGCAGAGAGAGAGTGCATGCATCTGTGCACATGCAAGCAGGGGAAGTGTGTGCGCGCACATGCACACGTGCAGGCAGGGGCACAGTGTGAATATGCATGTGTGTGTGCAGGCAGGACAGTGCGAGTGTCTGTCATGCAGGCAGGGGCAGAGTGTGTGTGTTCGTAGGGTGAGTCCCATACGCACACCCCACCCTACATGTGCACCCCACCGTCACACTGCCATACACGCAGACCCCCACACCCACACACCCCAGCCACCCTCCCCCACAAACCCCATACCCACCCACATGCTTCCTCACCCCTCATATCCACACACCCACAGCCCCCCCAAACCTATATCCACCCCCACAATATACAAGCATAAGACTTAATTTTAAGCTATTGTGCAATCACCTCTGTGTACACTACACAAACACATGTAAACCAGAGCAAAAATATTTTTTGAAATCAAATTAATGAATGTTGTAGATGTTGGATTTTTAGAATAGAATTTGGTATTTTTGGTTCTGAGATGGCAAAACCCCTTGCTGAAAGGAGTACTTCTGGGGCCAAGGGCGAGGGACTTCCAGTCCCAAGATGACAACCAGGGGACAGGGCACCTGTCAAGGGGCAGGGGTACCCATACGGCCCTGGACAGCTTGTCAAAACTCGGTAAGCAGCCCTCCACCTGAAATAATTGCCCACCCCTGCCATAGATTTTTTTTGGCTGCTAAAATGGACATTTTACCTTTAAAGCCATTTCACTGATGATCATTATAAAAGATGGAATGGCAGGAGACAGTGGAATTAAAATTCACCAAGTGAAGTGTTGCTGCATGAAAGGAAATAAAGAATGAAAAAACACAATATAGGAGAGGAACATAGAAAGGAAGGAGGAGGAGAAAAAAAAGAAAGGAAAACTTACTGCAAAATGCAGCACTAAGGTATTGAACAAATAAGGAATTAAAAGGCCAAGTAAGTTCCTATGCAAAATACACGTTTTACCCTGGCTTTTTTGTGCAAGACTCCCCAATATCAGTGGGAGACCTGCTATGGGTGGTGGAGAATATTTTGTTGTTAATTCTAATATGAGTCTACTCACCATGTTGATGATTCTATGTCAAATTATGTAATCACTAAAGACAATGGCGAAAACAAAGGCATGGCCTACCTT